ATATATAAAACCTAAAAAAAATTATTGATTATTTTGTTTCATATCCTCCATGTGCGAAATATTAAAAGGCTTGGCAATCTATGTCAAGCAGAAACCGAGTACAAAGGTCGTAACTAGAAGAGATAATTGTTTGCTTTATTTCATTATTTACTGTTCTATGTGTTAAGAAAAATAAGTTTAAAAACTTATTTCTAAATAGCAATAATATATATATAGAATGAAAAAAACACACCATAAAATACTAATAAAAAATTTCCCAGATCTGGAGTTTGTTTTAATGTCTTATAAAGTCTTTTGTTCATCCTTGCAAAAGCTAGGTCTTTTCAAATTCCTATGAAACCATAAAATACTGTTCACACCAACATTGGTGCATAGTCTATAATCGACTCTATCAATTTAAATTTTAGCTGTAGTTATTTTTAAAGCTGAGTTACATTAGTAGTTATTCAAATGACATGCTGTAAGATCATAAAAGGGCATGAGTGAGACTGTACTAATAAAATCAGAAAAAGAGAAAAAATCACTTAAGAAACAAAACCTTAAGAATGTAACTCAAGGGATAATAGTTTTTTTAGCAAATATACACCTATGCTTTGGGGTGGGCAGAAAAATTTTCAAAACTAAAGTTTCCCTTTTTTTTAAGCAAGTTATCATCTCCAAGTATTTGCATTTCTGTGATGCAAATTACAATTGTCACTTTGAGCACTCAATAAAAAATATTTTTCTTATGATCAAATTTAATGCTGTAACACGAACAAATCAAACGAAAACCTAAACTTGCCATAGATATCACAATATAGTGTTTTTTTTTGTAAATTATTCCTCCCCTAAACGTTTGCAATTTTAATTGAAAAAAAATGTCAGTCCATAAGTTACAATATAATATTTTTAACACCAGAAATGATTTTAAGCATATTATTTACAATTTTTTTTTTAACTTTTTAACTCTCTTCAAAGACATGAATTACAAGGTAGCTGGAATATATTTTAGTAACTTGTGAAAAAATTTAAACCTACCATTTGTCCAAAGTTGACATCAAAAGAACAATTCTTTGTCAAAATATGGGGAAAAAGAGCTATATCTCCAAGTTCTTCTTTGGAAACACTATAGGCTATTCCTTGATGGACTCCATTTTTGGCAAAGGATATCTCTACTGTACTGGAATCAATGTTCTAAGCATAAGAAAAAGAATTACATTACAAACTTATAACTTGTAAATCATTTGAAAAGTTAAATGTATTTACAATACTCAATTTTTACATCATTGTTGTAGCTGTTCACTTGGGCCTATATAAGTTAATGTACAGATATGAATAAGTCCATTTATCACATTGCTAGTCTGTTTATTTGACCATGTTTTAAAAGATGCAAACTTGAATTGCTGTGGATGGGTGTCTATTTTTCCTAACAATATAATATTCTAGTTTCTGCAGTTTCTTAAATTATTTGTGACAGCATTTTTATAGCTAATGCTTTCTTCATGAAAAGTTATTCCCAGTAGCTTCTAGCACTTATAAATTAGTACAAATACACTCCCTACCATACAAGTCTGACTCGTGTGTCATAATAAATTTTTAATCCATTTATATATATATACACCATTATGTTGCTATATGCTGCTTTATGTAATGAGCAAACATTCATTCTTTAATCTTGTTTGAAATAACCGAAAAATACAAAAACTCCACACGTACTGAAACCAATTACACTTTAACAACTATGCCAGGTATTTTATATTAAGTGTATAACTTATGTTAATATTTTAATATATCTTGATAAAAAAACCAAAAAAAACCACCATATTTCAGAATCAAATTAATCACCATGTTAGTTTCACTGCACAGATTAATTGAGTATTTCCCAAAAAATGACATATTATAGCACAAACTGCCCTAACCCAGTTAAAAGTTACATCTTAACAATACTATATAACTGAAAGAGTTCGTTTAAAATTCATAATGAACAACTTGGGTGTTCCTGATAGAAAAAATGATTGTTTGGATATATACTGATACATGTTAAATGTATAATAAACATGTTGCATAATAATAATCCTTACTAATTTGGCATCATTTGCAACCATATAGGTAGATATAAACCTTACATGGCTATTAGTAGATGCATCTTCAATCCAAATTAATTTTATAGACACATATATGCACACATGGATACTTTATGCTGCCATTTGTTTTAAATCACTGTCTACCTGGATTACACCATTCAGAATATAACTGTTCAAAACAAAGCACTATCTTGATTATATATGCCATGTGTTTGTTTGATCGGGATTAGTTTGAATACATAACCAGTTAACATTCTTAAATTGTGATCTATAACTGAAGTTTAAACTAAATGATTATGAATTATACAGTTTATTGTATGGTATTAAATACGATAATTATTTCATGACATTTTATTTCTAATTGAGCTATAACAAAGGTTCACTTTAAGCAGATGGAGAAAACTACTTGCACTTTGTCAAAAACAACTTTTTAGTGGTATATACAGTAATGTAAATATATGAGTGTGTTGGGCTAAAGATTCTTCTACAGTAGGTATCTGTGACTTGTTGGCGATAAACTTGACAATAAACCAACAGCACACACATTCTAATTGTTTTCAAAATAGTATATATATATTCAAAACAAGTTAAAAGTATGTATAAAATTCTTTACACTATGGAGATCATAGCTGTATATTAAACATTATACTTGTCAAAAGTACACTTAAGCTAATTCAATTGCTTTAAAATTACTGACAAGCCGGACTATTTTTCTCTATTTTTATCGCAATAGTATCCATATATAATTCACTTATGATGTCGCGTGAGTTACTGCAGTTGTATACTGAACTTCCAATAATCATCTACTCTTCATACTTCTAATAATCGTCTGCTTTTTTTGTCAAAGTCCACACAGGCGGGTTCAATTACTTTAGAACACCCTTTGACAAGACAAATTATTCTCCTTATCTCTTTTAAACTGTTAATCTCACTCTAACATATCAATCATTAGGCCATTCACTCCCATGATGTTAACTTTACATTTTTTAACTTTTCTCTGACCAAACTTCTCTTTCACGTGGCTTTACTTTTACTCTGTTTCCGCTCATCTGGTCACAGCTATTTATACATCTATCATTTAGGTCTTCTAGAAATCTCCATAGCCTCGACATCAGTGAATTGCAAACACAAATTTAATTAATAATACTACCTTCACTAAAGAGTCTTTTATATCTGACACACTTCAATGCTAGGCATGTAAAATATAACAGTGAGTAATGTAATCTTGTATGCAACCTTTTAATATAGAAAACTAAGAGATTGTAATTCATTTCCAATATTTTGTAACAGTCCATAAACCTTTATTAATGGAACAACATTTTTAAGGTTTTTTTAAGTTAAAAGATGATAAGTCATCTTGAAAATACAGGCAATACTAAAGTAAGCCAGTTTCATCTGCTGATTTTAAGATTTCTTACAGTAACAAGTGTAACTGTCCATCCTTTAAATTGTTAACTTCATAGTGAATAACTTTTTTCAATACAGTTTAACCATTAAAAGTTTCTAAAAAAAATATAATGAAGTCCATTTAAAAGAGTTAAGAGATTCAAGCAAAATCTAATTTTCTGATTTAGTGAGAAACCATAAATCCTTTGTATATTCTTCTCAAGCAACACTTTAAAAAATCTGTATTCCAGTAATAAAATACAAAACTCTTTAAAAATTATAAGGAAATATTTTTTGGTATGATGCACTTTGTTTTTAAACCCACTTGAAACACCATAAGTATAACTTGAAATGTTGTCTTACAAGAAAGCCAGTGATAACATCCCCTTCACCAAACGGAGTCCCATAGTCCACAAACTTGCAATTTGTAGAAGCTTTAGCAGTTCCACCATACCCATATGATTTAGGTTCCTCACCTGTTGACAAAACAGTTAACTTGTATCAAGCATAAACTATGTTAGGTGACAAGCAGAATAATTAAAAACAAGTGTCCAACAAGATGATATAAAAGAACAATTAAAACTGTGATATTTTTTAATTAGCAGCTTAAAACATATTTTTCACAAATTACAATAAAAATATTTACTTTACATGCTAGATATAAAAGAAAACTGTTACAGTTTTGCCCACTGTATGGTCAGTGATTTTTCTTGATCTAAGTTTAAAATTTCATCATTTTTTTAACTTTTTAATTGCATTTGCTCTGTCAAACCATATGCAAAACTCAAATATTATCATATAAGTTTACATTCAGTACAATTACAATCAAAGGGTAGATTAGTAAGTATGTTGCTGAATTCTCCTAATTCAATTAAGGGTTTTCTGCTTGATCATACAGCACACCACCAATTTTCTGGCAACTCATGGTCCAGCATCTCCTTTAATCAGGACAAAATTACAAGAGCGCACTTGAAATTCCCGGAACTGCCAGACCAGTTTACTTGACGGCCACAGATGGCACTGTGTGTGCCGCACGCTCTTTTGGGATGGGCTACTTACATTTTAAGTAGGTACACCACTCTTGTGAACAATTTCCTAAAAATATTAAGCTAGTGGATTAAATGGCTTGAATTTTTTCATGAATGTTGCCAAGAATATGTAGTTTAACATAGTAGTAGTAATCCTGAGAGCCCTCAACTTACAGACCTTTGTGATTAGCTCTACAATTCCAGTAAAATTCTAAAATTTGCCACTTTGGTAGCAGTACTACTGCAACATTCTTTGTAAGTACAGTAATTAATAAACCTTTTTCATTTATACCTGTACTAATGTATATCATTAATCATTTAATTCATATTTAATTTTAATTTAATATTTGTTTTATTTAAGTCTCTAGGAGTCCATGGTACTTTAGACACACGAGAGGGGTATAATTAGTGGGTCAGAGGTGTATTGTTGAATTATTAGTACGTGACCTCTGTTGGTCCGGCAAAATGGATAATCTGGCAAGGCTCTGGAACCAAGGGTGCCAGAAAATTGGTGATGTACCTGTACCATGTAATTCCATTTGTTTAATTTAATGGTCATTGGCTCTTACTTTGAATTAGATTTAGTAAATAACACATTATTCTTCCTCTGCATGTGGTTTGTGCTTGATTGTATTTTAATGTTGGGTTGATATTGCCTGTACACGTGGACAATAACCATAATATTCTACCCAAAGGTTTTCACCGAAAACTAAAAATACCTTAAAAACTGAAGGTAATGCAGTGAAGACAGACAAGTACAGCAGCCAAATACAAATTCTACAAGATAACAAAACAGATTTTCTTATTTAAGTATGTATTCTTCATCCTCCTCAGAATTCATACTTCTTTTACTTTACATATAAGAAGTGTATAGTGACAATGAAATAACAATTTCAGTGGGTGGGTGTCCATATGTAAATGTGTCTATGTCGGACTTCCAGAGTTTAGAATAATGGTAAACATAATATTCTGGACAAAAACCTTGCATACAATTTGACTGTACTATTAACCCTATCTTTTCTATTTGTGGAGATATCACTTATGTACTGAATCAAACACAGTGGTCCCCCGCTCAACTTTTTCCATTTTTGGAAATGGTCTCTTGAATACTTACTTCTAAATATGACATGTGAATAACCAATCAAAAGCTCATAATGTCCCCCTAGTAGCTTTCTCAGCCATTTTCAAACATAACGGCATCATCTCTTTCTTTTGAGAGTAACCTCTGTGCTGGTAAGTTGAGTGTTTAGCCTGTTCGAAATTTCATATCTTTTTTAGACCCAAAAACAGCTTAGTTACTAAACTTGATAAATTATAATGGAATTCTATGGTATCAATATATTAATTAATGATTTTTTTGGTTATTCAAATGTATATATAAGAACCAAAAAAATTATTTTGTTTCACATCCTCCACGTGTGAAGTTTCTTAAGGCTTAGCAAGCTACAACAAGTAGCAATCGAGTACAAAGGTTTTAACTAGAAGAGATAATTGTTTGCTTTACTTCTTTATTTACTGTTCTATGTTTTAAGAAAAATAAGTTTAAGAACTTGTTTGTAAATAGTAAAATCTATATACGTATATAATGTATAATAATTGAAATGTGACTATTTTACAAAGTACTGGTCCACTAAAACACAGCCAGGACAGGTCACTTTGTACAGACCAAAGGTCAGTTTTATGTTATTTGATATGGTAACATGAGTGCATGCGAGTCTTGTCATTGTAACTTCTGTATTGTTAACCAGACATGGCTGAAAGATTAGTATAACAAAAATAATAAATATATGTATATATATAAAAAAATATAATGTTATGAGATTTAAGCTATTTAGTCTAAAGATTTATGTTTTCATGTTATAATTTGTAGTCATTCTAGAATGCAAAAGGCATAATTTATTTCTTAATTGTTTATGATGGTTACGAGATTGGTCTAATCTACGAAATCCGTACACAGATTCGTTTGTGAAAATAACAGATAAAATATAGTTTTTTCTTAAGAAACGTTTGATACCTATCTGGACATTATAAGGATTTTGCATGTGAAATTTGAAAATTTTCTGATGCATAAAAGTATTTTTAATCTCAAAATGAAAATTAATTTGCATGTTGGATAGGCAACATCCAAAAATCTGATATTTTGCGTAGTGAGCCCATGCTGAAAAAGAGTTAAGTTGGGGATTTCATCCTCTTCAAATTCTACACATATGCATATACATGAAACTACAATTTGTACTTCTTGCTTATGTTCTAAAGATAAAGACTGACATCAAACATTTCCCAAAGAAAAGCTACCACTACAGTTATACTTAATAAGGAGCTTTCTGCTGGCTGTGCAAATGATATTTTTAATATTTTTCCTGTTTCTCACAGACTGAGATAAACAATTATGTTTTCCAGTAAACCCCTAGAACACATTACAGTTTGAAATTTGATATCAGTTCTGAACATGTTTGGGTTAACTTACATAAAAAAAGCAAGAAACCTTTCTGGTCATACTGAAATTGTACTAGTAAGAGAAACATGGTTTAAAGGGTCAAAAGTCAAGCTATTTAGTTATGTTTGAAGTCATTCTGATGTAAGCCTTTCCATTTAAGAAGTGAAAAGATGTGAAATGCAGTATCGTTATTGACACAAAATACAGTATATATCCATAATATAGTTTACAGATTGTTAACCACTGTTTAGCTTACAGCTAGATTTTATCAGTCAAACAATGATTACGGTAATGAAAAAAAAATATCAACATAATATGCTGAATGAAAGCAAATTAATTTAAAAAACAACCACTTCAAGAGGAAACAAAGTCAAGCATGAAACATTATGAAACAAAAGAGCACATCCGAACACAAGCACTGCCAAACGTGAAGTGATAGTTCAGTAGCGGAGTGTAGAGGCTGTCACATGCATCACGTGAGCATGTCATGCTTCTATTGGAGAAGAGGTAATGCATTATGATTTACATGAGAGATGTGTTGGAATCTTGCAATTCCAATAGGGGGGAGCAGAAGGCTTGTGGAATGTGTTAAGAAATTGTTGCACATAGAGGGCAGCACCAAATGCAAATAGCTATTATTGTGAAAGGAGGAAATACCATATCAGAATTACCATGTCTGTAGTTGCATAAAGCCACATACTGATAAACTTTAATTTACTGGAGGCTATTACAGTAATCACTAATCATAACATCACATAAATTAGTATTATTTCAGTATAAAAATAAACAAATGACTTATGAATATAAATGACTAAATTTTTTCACACACTGTATAAGTGTACCATAAATACAAGATAGATGTCTGGAAGAGAGAGAGAGAAAAAAAAAAGAAGAGGGAAGCAGTTTCAAATATTGCATTGATGTAAAAACAAACAAGTTATCACTTGAGTACAATTTATTAACATCACAACATGCAAATCAGTCTATGAGCCAGTAAGATTATTCAAAAAACTGAATTTACAAATTTTTTGAAACATGTACCAACAACATTAGTGACAAATCCAAATTAGTAAATATTTGTATGGTTAAACTTGAATATTTTCATTGAAACAGAAAACCAAAATCAAAGTTCAAACATATTAATTTTGCACCTTTTGCGACCTTACAGGGGTATTTTATAACCTGTATGGCTATTATGAGGTGCTTTTCCAGTCAGTTAAAATAATACTTGTCAATACATTAATTAAATAATATGCTTGGAACTATTTTGGTGAAAAGTTGAATACTCTGGTCTTTCAAGATACATCATAACAGTTTCCAAATCTTAAGAATACCTTCACTTAATAGAATAAACTTGAATAACTTTTCTATTAGTACATTAGTAGTTTTCTATATACAATAACTGATGAACAATAAAAATTAAGGAAAATCTTGAAATGATTACAATATAACAAAGATAATTTTTCAGCCAAATAGTATCCTTTTTTATATTATTAAGACACAAGTTTCTGCCATTACCCTCAAAAATTAATTCAGCCAAATAAAATTCAGAAAAAGACTGGTTATTTGCTTTTAAGATAAATCTATATGAATCTAGAAACTATTTTACAAAATGTTTCTAAGTCAACTATAAAATGGTATCAATGATTTTTACAAAATATTGCAGAGAGGAAAGCAGGTGAATGGTAACAGTTTTGACAGTCCAAAATAAACAATTCACCTTTAAAAAATATATTTAATGAAATATAACATAAAGGCTTGCAAACATAAACAGACAAAATATTCAAATCTACATGATGGTGTCATTTGAACTAAATATTTTCAATATGGAGTTGTTTGATAGTGTAATTAGAGCTGTACGATTTAATTGATTAATGTAATAAAAATAATAAATTAATAAAAATTAGTGTTTTTGATTATTACTGTTTCAGTTGTTTCAACAATTGATTAATTGATGCTAGGACTATATAAACTGTCACAAAATTATTAATCAATAATCATACTATTTATTATTTTTGAATATTTTCAAGTAGTTGAAATATTGCTATTATGTAAATGGAAAAACAAACAATAGGGGGCAGGGTGCCTCATAATTTTAAGGTCTCAGGTTATCCTCATTGCCACTAAACTTCCTTGTCCTCTGTTATTGCAAAGCCACTAAAGGCTATCTACCACCTTCAGTATTTTTAATTTTGAACTGTTTACTACAAGAGCAACATCTGGTTATCAGAACCCACTACCAATTTTCTGGCTACTTAAATGTTAAATAAAGCATAAAATTACTGTTTTCTTAAAAACAGGTGAAGATCTAGGAAAGTGATCCAGACCACCCACACATACATTTTTTCCATAAATTAATAATTGTATTATTTGATGTTGTATAAGCAGACACTCATCTAGGGAATCTGAACCACCCATTTAAAAAAAAAATTAATAACTGTGTTCTTTAATTTGTATAATTTGTTGTATAAGCAAGCACAGATCTAGGTCAAGTTCAGGGAGACCAACCACCTCCAATTCATTCAAGAATTAATAACTGCATTCTTTAATGTTGTATACAAGATGCATATTGTTTCATTTCTTTAAATGTAACAAGTGTATTGTGACAATCAAATAAACATGTGAGTGGGTGGGTGGTCATATGTAAACATGTGTATGTGTATAACTTGCAGAGTTAAGCATAATGGTAAACATAATACTCTGACAACAAACTACACTCTGATGGTGCTGCTAAGCAGGGCATTTGATCTTCAAATCCTGCACATATATTAAACTACAATTTGTATTTTTAACAGACATTTTTATCAGATAATTAAGTAATTAATGTCAGTGACTTATATATATACAAAACCCATTGTCTTAAATAACTAGTGTGATAGAACGATTATTGTAAATAAATTTAAATTTATACTGAAATTTAAAAACTGCAATTTAGGAGTTTTTTAAAAATCTTACTATATATATCAAACTAGCTGGAGTACTCGTTCCCTGGACGGAAGTTATGTAAATTCATGATTAATGAAAGATTATCTTTGGACATAAAAAGTTGCTTCCCTTATATGAAATTGTAAAAAATGCAAAAACACCCATAAAAACTGCAAAACATAAAATTTGGAACTGCATTTGAAAAATTAGGGGAAAAATAAAAAACATCATTAAACTTATTCGTACCTACTTTTATTGTCATTTTAACTTCCATGCGCATATATTTTCTTTTTACTTTTTGTTAATCATAAAGAGCTATCTGTGCTGTGCCAACAATGGGGATCAAACTCCAAATTTCAGAGTTATAAGCTCACAACTTTACTGCTGACACACGCACACACACGGGGGTTCTTGCTTTCTACTTTATATTACAAAATTACAGTGATTTTATATACTAAACCACTTCTCTTAAATAATTAAGACTGAAAAAGATTGTAGGCAAATACTTACCCAACTGGAGAGACTGTAAGTTACCAGAAAAACCCACACGAATCACATGAGGTGTGCTTTCATCTGGGGGTAGATGACTAACATCAAGATGTTTTTTTACCTATTAGCAAAATCAAAAATTCTTCTTAAGTTTTCTTAGCTCTTCTTTCTAAAATGATCAATAAATTGAACGAAAAACGAAAATACTAATCTTCAAATGAAACAATACAAGAAGAAGAAGTTAAATGTATCATTACTAGTCAAACAGCTACATAGTTCAATAATCAATACAAAATCTTAAAGGCGTAAATAATCTAATTCTGTTTTCATGCTTAGGAACAAAATCGCTATCTGTAACTACTCAACACAGATGAATAGAATGTAAATGTTGTTATCCAACATTGGTCGCCTGATTGAGAAAGTTTGTTTGTAGCTTTGTCTTAACACTGGATAAATTAACTGTATATCTGGGAACTTGGAAGGAAAAATTAAAAACATTAAAATGCTTGTAAGTATTATTTGAAGAAAATTATCTTACATAAGTTAAACTATAATAGTTAGTTCTTTTACCAACAAACAAATTAGAGCAAATAGTTATGATCAGAATAATACAGAAATCCTCCATAAAACCTTTACAACATAGCCCTTAACAAACACTTGTTTAAAATATTTCTCAAAATCCAAGGTCAAATTATATTTATTAACTTTAATATACAGAAATATGAACAAAAAAAAAACATTCTTCCTAATAATTTTTTATATAAATAATTTTGTTGTTTTTGTTGAATAAAATAGTGTTGAAGCAAAACAAGTAAATAAAGATGCAAAGCAGAAAAAAAAGTTAATGCCCAAGTTAGTAAGATTGTTTTTAGCATTTATTAACAAATTTAACATTATGGAAATGAATTTGCACAAGCATTTCTGAAATAGCAAGGTTTTATCTTACACCATATCAGCAAAGTGATTAAAGTACAGCAAAATAAATCACAGTGACAGTGATCCAACTAACAACAAAAAAAAAAGATACATAATCAAGGGATTTCGTAGAACAACTGAGAAAGCTACACATCAGACCCCAGGATATTCTTGTCAGTTTTGATGTCACAGACCTATTTATCAATGTTCCAACCTAATGAACCCTTCATATCACCAGACAATGACTGCTGAATGACAACTCTCTAACACACAGAACTGACATGAAGATAGATGCTATCATGGAACTAACAACTATGTGCCTACAGTCAACATACTTCCAATACAATGAGGAATTCTACAAACAAATGGACAGTCTAACCATGGGATCCCCACTCTCTCCAGTCTTAGCAGACATTGTCATGGAAGATTTTGAAGAAAGAGTTCTCTCATCCATACATATAAAACCAACTTTCTACAGACAATAGATGTTGATGACACCTTTTTTATATGGCTCCAAGGTCATGAAAACTTAACAGCCTTCATAGAATATCTTATTTCTATAGACAAAAGAACCCACTTCACCATGGAAATAGAGGAACAAAATAGCCTACCATTTCTTGACACTCATCAGCAGACAAGAGACAATTCACCACAACTGTATACATAAAACCCACCCACACTGACAGATACCTACCTCTTCCAGTCTTATCATCCAACCTCAGTAAAATGTGGTATAATTCTATACAACAGAGAGGAAAACATTTGTAAGGAGACATCCATCAGAATAGAATGCCAAAAGTTCATAGTGTGTTTTAAACGGAATGGTTGCACCTTTATTATCATTAAAAACTCCCCGAAGAAGACCACAACAGAAAGAAAAGATACTAATACTACTACTATTTACATCCCCTACATGCAAAATTTCAGTGAAAAACTCAAATGAATAGCCAAGAAGTTCTACACAAATGTACAGTGGAAATCTTATAAGACAGTAAGATTCATTTACGTGAAAACCAAATAGAACCCTACTAATTAAAAACACAAAAATGTCATCTACGAAATTCCATGTTCCTGCAACGAAACATACATTGGAGAAACAAGAAAAAGACTTGGAACAAGAATAAAAGAACACAAACACAGCACAAGACACATGAATATATAAATTTCAGCCATTGTGGAACATATGTCAAAAGGGCCAAAAATAAACTGGGATAAAACTAGAATCATTGACTCAAACAAATTTTAGAAGACAAGAAAAATTAAAGAAACATTCTATATCAACACAATAAAGCTTCACTAAACAGAGATTCAGGATTAGAGCTGAGCAACCTATGGCTACGATTGATTGAAACCACATGCAGTCTTTTCACTAATCACAACATGTCCTCCACAATCCACCAGGATACAATAAAAGACCTGCAACAGCTCTCACACATTGACTTGAAGACAAAAGTTTGGTTTGAATTTTGTGCAAAGCTACAAGAGGGATATCTGCGCTAGCCGTCCCTAATTTAGCAGTGTAAGACTAGAGTGAAGGCAGCAAGTCATCACCACTCACCTCCAACTCTTAGGCTACTCTTTCACCAACAAATAGTGGGATTGACTGTCACATTATAAAGCCCCCACAGCTGAAAGGGCGAGCATATTAGATGGGATTAGGATTTGAACCCGCGATCCTCAGATTACGAGTCAAGTGCCCTAACCACCTGGCCACGCCAGGCCCTGAAGACAAAAGACTTTTCAAATGTTGTGCTCTATATTTGTGTTTATTTACAAGCAGTTGCCATACACCATACTAATCATAAATACTCTGACTAAACAATAAATCAATGGAAAGGTTATTGTTTAAATAAGCATTAAAAAAATCAAATTATAAGATTAACTACTAATAATACCAACTTTCACTTCAAAGCATATTCTTCCAGATGTTATACCATACGTGGCTCTAACACCAGACCACATGAAAGCAAAACCTTCTTCTGTAAATGGAATGGCAGAGTAACGAGACTTGTCGATTACCAATGTCAGATCAGAATTATCTAAAAATCAAAGAAAAACTTTTAACCATATGTACACTTGTAGGATCAAAATGTGCATTTCACAACCTCTTACACTGTTATATTCAAAACTTAATTAGCTCATTATGTAATGGTTTATAATCATTTTTACCATCTTTTACCCACCAAACAATCATGAGTATCCATACTGTAACTTTGAATGTGGTGTATGTATCTTCACAAAATTTTTTAAGTTTTTGCAAACAATTACAAGTCTTTTGTACACAAAAAATCATATTTTTTAATTAAGTATTTTTACTAAAGATTTGTCCATGTATATATGAAGTCAGAGCTGACTTTTCAGAATGCAAGGTGACTTTCATTTTAAAGTTTTCAAATTTTATGTGTCTAATGTCTAAAACCTCCTGAATGAATATCAAACATTTCTTTGTTAGTAAAATGTTATATTTAACATTATTTTCTTTACACTTACTCGATACAGGCTTGGTTAATTTGACCAACCTTGTAACCATCACAACAAAGTTCAAAAAAAAAAATCTAAATTACCCTTTTTTCTTTCTAGAATGATTGCTAGTTGTAACAGAAAATTACAATTGTTTATCCTAAATAACTTAAGACTTGTAACATTTTACATCTGTAACTTTATTTTATTTTCCTTTGAACCATGTCTAACTAATAACTAATGTTTACTAAAAGCTTGCCAAATTTTGTAAAGGTAGATATAGTAAATTCACAACTATAGCAAACATTGCTGAGTATATCTTCACAGAAACAAGGTTAGTCTAATGGAACAATGCCATGCATGTACAGTTAAGAGGAAAATATGTGTATGTGCGTGCATATATAGTTTCTGACAGCTCAGATCTATCATTTTACACACACTTGACAATCTAGAAAGAACAGATATAGTCTGGAGTTTCCCAGAAACTGCTGTTTGGGATTCACAAGATTTCTGATTTTGTTCCAAGTACCTACTTCAAATGCTATCTTTTGTTTAGCTTGTATTAGGGTATTCCATTACAATCAAAAGTTCATCACACTATGTGGTTACTGTCTTTTGAAAATTACCATTAATAAATTATTAATGTACACACATACACATTAAATCAAAAATATCCATAGATCATAATGCCTATAATGTATGAATAAGTATTAAAAGTTTCTCCTCAACCTGCTTTTTCCAAGTGTACGATCCAGGTAAAATATCTTTTATTATCGGAAAACTGTTTTCATTCATAACTTTATCAATGTATATCATGTATGTTCATTTCACACAGTTTTTGTACAAGATTATATAATTTTTCTTTTTCCTTCTTTTTTCTAACATATTCAAGTTTTTAGTCCACCTTATATTCAAAAACTGAAATTCATGTTCTATTCTTTCCTTCACATTTTCACTATTGAACATGCAGGGCTTTTAAAATTGCTAGCCCAACAACCCGGAACAACAACAATAACAAAAAAAAAAACAGTCAGACAATTCTTTTTTTGGATATTAGCCTAACAGGCAATCCCATTTTTTACAGTAACTATCACTCTTCTAAGATAAGGTTCTGTGCTGTAATCAAACTACTGTTTCTCAACCGAGGTTCTCCTCACAGATCATTCTGATAAAACAAAATATACCAACATGTTTAGAGCGATAAGTGTTTTTCACTTGTAGTGCTTCAGTGATTCCTGGAATAACATAGACATTCATCACAGATTCATTTTTCACCACTGACTTAAATATGTTATTTCCCAATTTTCCCCAGCAACATATCATCAAACTGTGTCAGCCAATCAGCATTGATCAACCTCTATTTGGAACAAGAGGCCAACATTTTCTTTGAAAATATGGCTTATATGTGAAAGTACTTTACTTGTAGCAGAGCAGCTGGAGATAAATGACTTCTCCCACAGCAGGAAAAGGCAGATGTTGCAAAAAATGAATATGAAAACAAAAATTTAGTGCACTTTCGTACCATTGTGATTAAAAGAATATTTATGGCTCACATATGACAATGACAAGAACAAAATGTTCTGCCAACTTTGTTGGAAGTTCAGTCAGATTGTGGACAGAGATAATCCTTCCATCAGAGGTATAAGTATGTTCTGTAAAGATCCCATAAAAACCCATAACAATTATCTACATGTGCGTAAAAGCCCAAGTAGCCATGCACCACAATTTAATGTAATGATACAGCTTTTTTTTTGCCCTACCTAATATATCTATCCAAGAAAGAACTGCCTTTAAATAAATTTGCTAGTTTGTGCAAATTACAGGCAACAAATAGAGTTAAACTTAAGGACATGTACATCAATGATGATGCCTGCCACAACATCACTGGGGCAATTGCACACCCTGAGAAAAATAAAACATCAGATTTAATTGAACAGAATATTGAGCAGGAAATAATTTACATGATGTTTGGATAAAATAACAGAGTAGTCACAATCAAATGCATCGTTAACGAAGATGCACCTGGTGTTTTAAGAGCAATAGATGAAACACTTAACTCTCTCACTACAGGCTCGGTCAAATCAGCTGAGTTCATGATCTCAAATTGGCCTATATAGTTTCCATACTATAACTTCTAATATCTTTTGTGTATCTTCTTGAAATTTCACAAGTTTTCAGTAATCATTAAATCACTTGTAGACATATATGGAGTCAAAATATTGACTGTTCTCAAATTTCATTTAAGTAATCTCTAAAACCTCCTATATAAATTTTAAACTTTTTATTATAACATAAAAATACACTTGTTTATCCTAAATAATTTTAAACTCATAACAGTATACATTTCTTTGTACTTAAATTTTGTTGCAAATGATTTGGCAAATGTGTAGCTCATGTTATCCAATGAAATTACATAATGCATGGGCTACTCGAGAGCATACCTTGTGAAAATTTTTTTATTATTAGTACTATTATTTATTTTATCTAATCT